GAGTAGTGGGCTTCAGCCAGCCATGGAATTATTCAGACAAGCCAATCACACCCTCCATGGGAACCAGGGACACTCCACTCTGTTGTTACTACAAAGCCTGCCTCCTGAGCCCCCGGTGTTCACTCTTCTCCTGAGAGCAGCCCTGTGTGTCTCTGCATGGCATGTCCCGTGTCCCTGGGCTCTGAGCATATGTAAGTAATAAATGCTGTCTGCTCATCTGTCCAGGGCTGGGTGTTGTGTGTTCAGCCATCCCCAGAACCCAGGGTGGGAACCCCTCTCCCACCATGGAGTAAGGAGGTGATCAGAACAACCTGCTCAGGATCAATCCTAAATGTGCCCTTTCTGAGGACTGCTGGTCTCTCTCACCCTGGGAACACCACGGTCTATGAGCCATCATCACAGACCTGCAGGGCAGGATGGTCGGTAAGTACCCCCACCTTATATCTGAGGGTGAAGTGCTGCCTGGCCTTGGCATTCTGGAATCCGTCACCCACCATCACGGGACACCAGCTCCACCAGCATCTCTGACCCACAGAGGATGGCCCCAGAGCCCCTCCCCATCCTGACCCACAGAGGATGCTCTCCAGGGCTCCTCCTCACTGCCTGCCTAATCAATCCCTTTCAAAAAGGGAGTGACCTCATGGATACTGAATGAAATTAATTTGTCAAAGTTCAAAAGGTCTTTTGGGTGGGTGTTACAGATTGAATTGTGTTCCCCCCAAATCATGGCTAGGCCATGATTCCCAGTATTATGTAGTTGTCTTCCGTTTTGTGATCTGATGTGATTATCCTATGTGTTGTAAGTCCTAACCTCTATGATGTTAATGAGGCAGGATTAGAGTCAGTTATGTTAATAAGACAGGACACAATCTATAGTGTTAGGATGTATTTTGAGTCAATCTCTTTTGACATATAAAAGAGAGAAGTGAGCAGAGAGGAGAGGGACCTTATTACCACCAAGCAACGCTGCCACCTGCGTTCCCAAGATGGCTATGTGATGGTGCTGAGTCCTCTTATCATAGGACAGCGTATGGATAGGAAGATTTTAGCCAAAAAGCTCAACCAATCCTGCTGTTTTCTGTACATATCCCGGAAATTTGCATTTCCACCCCAGATATACTGAACCAGAATCTACATTTTAACAAGATCCCCAGGTGATTCTTATGTATAACTTACTGGGAATGTGTTAAAAATGCAAATTCTCCTCAGTGGTTCAAACCCAAACGAACCAGTTCGAAGCCCTGTTTCAAAGTTACTTAGGTCAGCTCAGGAGCTCTGGTGGTGCAGTGGTTAAGCACTCTGCTGTTAACTGAAAGACCAGCTGTTCTAACCTACCAGCCACTTCACAGGAGAGAAGACCTGGTGATCTGCTTCAGTAAAGATTACAGCCTTGGAAACGCTAGGGGGCAGTTTTGCTCTGTCCTATAGGGTGGCCATGAGTGGGAATCCACCGGACCGCAAGGGGTTTGATTTCCTTTTAGGTTTTAGGTCACCTCTGTCTCCCCACCCCCTTCAGTGGGGCAATGCGACTCAACCTTAATAATTCATTGGTCACAATCATCTGCCCTCTGTCTCGGGTGACCTCACATCCTGGCTGAGCTTCTAACGCGCAAAGTGAAGCTCACTGTCTGTGGTGTGCAGTCTATGGGCTTTGATGGGTTCACACAGTCTTATGCCCACCACCACAGCTAATTACAGAACCATTTCATCACCTCCACATTCCCTCACACTGCCTGCTTTTCATCCTTAGAGTTTTGTCTCTTCCAGAATGTCACATAAAGAGAACCATAAAGCATGTATTCTTTGGGATCTGGCTTCTTTCACTCAGAAAAATCCACATAAGAGTCATCCCTGCTGTTACAGCATCGATAGTTCATCCCCTTTCATTGCTGGGTAGCATTCCAGGGTGTGGGTGGACCACAGGTTGTTCAGGTGTCCACCACTTGCTTATTCATTCACTGGATTGTTTCCCGTTGTGGGCAATTACAAAGAAAGCTGCTATAAACATTTGCGCAGGTTTTTGTGTGAACATAGTTTTCATTTCTCTTGGTGAACAGGAGTGATATTGCTAGGCCATGGGGTACGTGTATGGTTGATTTTATAAGAAGCTGCCAAGCTGCTCCCCACGGTGGCTGTGACATTTTGTATTCCCTCCGGCAGTGGTGTATACCATTGCATTTACTGGGTGCTGTTGCAAAAGGATTTTTTGTTGTTGTTGTTTCTAATTTCAAATTCCAGTGGCTCATTGCTAGTTGTATTGATTTCCTTTTGCTTCTGTAACAAGTTACCACAGAATTAGTGGCTTAAAACAACACAAATGTATGTTTTACAGTTCTTGTGGTCCGAAGCTCCAAATGAGTCTTAAGGGGTTAAAATCAAGGTGTGGGCAGTGATGGCTCCTTCTGGAGGCTCCAGGGAAGAATCATCGCTTGTCTCTTCCAGCATTCCTTGGTTACTGGCCACATCACTCCAATCTCTACTTCTGTTGTCACAAAGCCTTCTCCTGCCTTTGACCTTCTTACCTCCTTCTTTAAGGACCCTTGTGATTACACTTCGGGCCACCTGGATAATCCAGGACAATTTCCCATCTCAAGAGCCTTAATAATCACATCTGCAAAGTCCCTTTTTCCATGTCAGGTGACATTTGCAGGTTCTGGGGATTAGGATGTGGGCATCTTTGAGGGGAGGGGGCATTACTCAGCCTACCCTACTAGAAGGACATCATGCTTGGTAGAGGGTCAGCAAAAAAGAGGAAGCCCTCAACGAGATAGATTGACACAGTGGCTGCAACAATGGGCTCAAACATAACAACGATTGTGAGGATGGCGCAGGACCAGGCAGTGTTCTGTTCTGTTGTACATAGGGTTGCTATGAGTCGGAAACAACTTGATGACACCTAACAATGATAACAATCCCACTAGTGGTCCAAGCCAAACCAAACCAAACCTATTGCCGTCCAGTTGATTCCAACTCATAGCGACCCTACAGGATAGAGTAGAACTGCCCCATGGGCTTTCCAAGGAGCAGCCGGTGGATTCAAACTGTCGACCTTTTGGTTAGTAGCTGAGCTCTTAATCACTGGGCCACCAGGACTGCCCCCACAGTGTAGAGAAACACAATTGTTGTTCCCATGCTGAACTTGTAACTTGCAGCCTTGCTGACTCACTTACTAGTTCTAAGGGTTTTTTTTTTTGTAGATTCTTTCGGAATTTCTATATAAACAATCATACCATCTGTGAACAGAGAAAGTTTTATTTCTTCCTTCATAACATGCATGTCTTTCTTTCTTTTTACTGTCTCATTGCACTGGCTGGGGCTTTCCGTGCTGTGTAGTGCTGAATGGGGGTGATGAGACAGCACACCTTGCCTTCTTCCCAGTCTTAAGGGGGAAACATCCAGTGTCTTGCCCTGAAGTCTGATGTTAGCTTTAAGGATTTTGGTTGTTTTTTTGTCAGCTTAAGAAAGTCCCTGTCTGTTCCTCAGTAGAATTGTACTCTCTGGCCCCCTTGTGGTTGAGTGAGGTTATATGACACCTTCTGGCCAACAGGTTATGAGGAGAGGTGATCTGTGTACCTTTCAGGTATCAACGGCTAACACGCTCAGCTACTAACAGAAAAGTAGGTGGTTTGAGTCAACCTTGGAAGAAAGTCCTGGTGATCTACTTCTGAAAGATCAACCATTGAAAACCCTGTGGAGCACAGTTCCCATCTGATACACATGGAGTCACCGTGAGTTGGAGTTGGCTCTACAGCAACCGGTTTATACCCTGTAAACCAAACCAAGTCTGTCACCGTGAAGTCGATTCTGACTCATACCGACCCAATAGGACAGAGAAGAATTGCTCCATAGGGTTGCCAAGGAGTGGCTGGTGGATTTGGACTGCTGGCTTTTTGGTTAGCAGCTGAGCTCTTAACAATTGTGCCACCCCCAAATGTCATGGGCCCATTCCATGGAACAGTACATCCTGGCCTTGCTTCCTGGCCTTCCACTCCTCCACCGGCTCCATCCCACAAGCCAGAAAGGACATACTCAGAAGAGAGGGTGACGGGTCATTTATTGCTGGAGAGAAACCACCCAGAACAGGAAGTCCATGTCTGAGACCAAGAGGGGTCGGGTCCCAGGAAGAGTGGCGTCCTTGGTCTTGAACCGCTTTGACTCCTCGATGGGAGGGGTTCCTCTGGTGAGGACTTGGGGGGCGGTGATGTGTCTCCCTCACCGCGGAGGAGCTGTGCTGCCGGGACTCTCGCAGACCTGGGGGACACAGTGACACTCCTGTAACTCCAGGAACCCACAGATGCATGCCAGCCCTGCCTGGCCATAGTGAGGGGCCCTCCTTGTGTGAGGTGGAACCCCGGCCCCCCCAAACCTTCAGCTTGGAGGGGCCTGTCACCTCCAAGACTATCCTCCCTCCTCCTTCCCCAGCACCTCCAGAAGGATGAGTGGGAACTCGATGGGGCCCAGCACATATGAAATGACCGCTTGAGAAAGGCCGACCCAAGAGACACTGGCACTCAGCCAGCCTGGGTTTCTGGGACTGCCAGGGGAGCCCCCAGGACCCTGAAGGGCCTCAGTGGGAGGTGGGGTCTGTCCGGGCCCACAGGGTACTCTCCCCGTGCACTGCCATTCGGGAGGATGGGTGAGTACCTTACCCCATGAGGTGGACCAGAAGCGCTCACCTACACGTGACACCTCTCTGTGAAAGAAAGGGACAACGGGTCATCACGGAAAAGAAGGGGACTTGGCTGACAGCCCAGGGGATGGGAGGGTTTGGGAGGGAGGTGGGACCCCCACCCACCATCTCCCTGGGCACCTGGTGGGGAACAGGGACGTAACACACCCAGGAGAAAGATGGCTCTTCAATTAAAAAGTGCCAACAGGGAACCAGGGCTGTCATTTTAGCTTTCTTATTGATAAACCAATAAGCCAAAGTGAAACCAGGACCCTGCGTGACTGGATGGGCACTGACCTTCCCTCTGGGTGAAGTCAAGGATAATTGGCATTTAGGTCTTTAGGACCACCTTGAATTGCTCCATGACATTGGTGTCGACCTTCAGGGTTCTGGCTGTAGGGGAAGTGGGGTTAGCCCCTGGCTCTGGCCATCCTCCTGAGGTTGAGTTTGGCCCACTGCAGTTCCCAGTGGTGAAGTCAGGGCTCCATCAGCTTACTTGCTCTTCAGCCCACTCTCCCTGCCCCTATCCTCCCGCAGGACAGCACTGGGCCTGCCCGCTCCAGCAGTGTCTATACAGTCACAGGAGGAAGTGCACACGCAGCCTCTCCCAAAAAACATCCGGTCTCACTGCACAGCCCAGGGTGCTGACTGATAGGTCTGGGAGCGTCCCTGCAGCCCCAGGTCCCATGGTTAGCTGGAGATACTGGGAATGTCCAATAGCGCGGCTACTGAGATAATGGAGAAGCTCACCTTATGTCTGTTTTTGGAACAATACAGTTGGAAAAACATTTTCATATCTGACTTCCCATTGGGTGAAACCATTTAAAATCTCCACGAACAAGGGTTGTTGGATTTATATCACCCTGGGTGATTGTCCCTGGGTGGTGCAAACGGTTAAGTACTAAATTACTGAAATGTTGGTAGTTTGAACCCACCCACAGGCACCTCACAAGACAGGCCTGGTGATCTGTTTCTGAAAGGTCACAGCCTTGAAAACCCTATGGAGCAGTCCTACTCTGCACACCTGGGGTCACCATGAGTTGGAATCAACTTGATGGCAACAGGTTTTTTTTTTTTTTTTTTTAACTATGATCACACCAACAAGTCACAAGAACTTGCGGGCGACTTGCTTGGAATGTCCTCCCTGCAGCCCACATCAGCCTCATCTGTTCTCCCTCCATGTCTGAGCTGTCCTCAAGAGCCCTGTCACCACGTCCACTGCCTATAACACTCCCTGAGAGTCCTGAGGTAACCCTGGACAGACCCTGTCCCTCCCTGTCCTCCACAAGCTCCCAGGGCCACGTGGTCCAGCTGTGCTGCCTGCCATCTATAATGCAGACCAGCTGTCTTAGGCTGGGTTCCCTAGAGAAGCAAAACCAGTAACGTGTATAAATATGTATATATAGAGAGATTATATCAAGGAAACAGCTCACGTGATTGTAGAGGCTAGAAAGTCCCAAGCCCGTGGATCAGGGTAGAGGCCTCTCCCAAGTCACACAGCTGCAGAAGCTGGCAAGCCCAAGATTGGAAGGTCAGAGAGCAGGGCTCCCACTCACAGGCTGTGCAGATCAACGAATCCAAGGTTCGGCAGATAAGCTGACAGCTCAAGTCCCAAGAAGGGGAGATGAGACGACAGGAAGCAGCTGCAGGATCCAGAAACAGCAAAAAGCCAGAGGGTCTGCTTATATACAGATGCGGGCCACACCCCCAAGGAGACTCCCTTTCACTGATTGGCTACTCACAGTATATTCAATCATGGGAGAGATTACATTAAAACAGAGAGAATCATGGCCCAGCCAAGCTGACACACAATCTTAACCATCACACCAGCTATCCAGGTTGCATTCCAAGCCCACTGCCCACCAGAGCCCAGGAACTAGACCCGTACCCAGGTACTGGCACACTAAGTCCTGCTCAGGGGCGATGGTGCTATCCATGCAAGTGAACAGAAAATTTTTGTAGTCAGTGTCCAGCATGAAGACTTTGTTCTCATCCAGGTCTAGAAAAGAAACCAAGACAGGGACAGACATAAATTCCAAATTCTCCATTCACACAGGAGATGTGTGCTGGTTGGGTCTTCCTGCACAATGAGCTGGAACCTCCCATCTCAGCCACTGGGCTGAAAGGCGGCTTCATCACCAGTCTTGCTACCCTCTTCAATTGCTCCCCTATCATGCTCTAGACAATGCACACCTGTCTCGTGTTGACTTCATGAGGTGCTTCTTTTGAGTCTTCAACACCTGCACATGTATATGGGGACCTTTTCCCTCCAATGGCCCCACATACTTTACAGATAGATACCAAAGTACAAATAGGAGTGGAAAAGTCCTTAGTAGTTACTGTGGCTCTCTGCCATATATGTTCCTCTGCCTCCTAGATGAGAGATTAATTCACTCTTCCATTTATCCACTCATCCATCCATCTATTCAATCATCCATCTACCCACCTATCCATCCATCCATCCATCCATCCATCCATCCATCCATCCATCCATCCATCCATCCATCCATCCATCCACCCACCCTTCCATCCATCCACCCATCCATCCATGCATCCATGCATCCATGCATGCATCCATGCAACCATGCATGCATCCATGCATCCATGCATGCATCCATGCATCCATCCACCCATCCACCATCCATCCATCCGTCCATCCATCCATCCATCCATCCATCCATCCATCCATCCATCCATTCATCCAAAGTCCCAGATGACTACCTTAGATGAGCCACCTTGTATACTGTGATTCAAAATGGTTAAGTAATGGAGTTTCCATGTTGATCTCGGGGAGACACATGGACTCCAAGCAACAGAATGGAAGGAGCAGAGAATTGCCATGTGAGATGCAGTCACATTTATAAGGGAGAGATAGTGGCCACTGCAGGGTGGGTGAAGCTTCCCAGAGTTGGAGCTGAGCAGGGGGCTTGCTCGAACCTGGGCCAGTGGATGCCAACTGGCTGCACATTAGCATCACCTGGGCAGCTTTCAAAGGCAATGCCACTCTCTGGGCCCCACCGCTGTGCCTGGGACTGATTGGACTTAAGTTCACACCAGCACCTCCTGGATGCCTCTGAGCCCCCAGCTGAGGGTGTCCACCCCTGTCGCACCTGTGGCTGGGCACACTATTAGCTGATCTCAAACTCAGCAGGGTTCTCAGTTCTCTGGGCAATGATCTTCTCCACACACCTATTGCTCTCCCTGAAAGCAAATCAGCCTGTGAGCCGTTTGCTCAAACTCCGTTTGAAAAAAGCGTGGTAAAAGACACAGAACAAAAAGATTGCCATTTTAACCATTTTATATGTACACTTCAGTGGCACTAATTAGGTTCACTGTGTTGTGCAACCATCCATTTCCAAAAGTTTTTTTATCACCTCAAACAGAAACCCAGTATCCTTTCAGCAATAAGTCCCCACTCACCCCCAAAACCTGAAAACGTCTCCTCTACTCTCTGTCTCTGTGCATTTGCCTGTTCTAGACATTTCGTGTAAACGGGGTTGTACAGCATTTGCCATTTTGTTTTCAAACTCCACTGTAATAAAACAAAGGCTGAGGGGAGGGGACTGGGAGCCAGGGAGGTACCTGGGACAGAGGGAGCTCCTGTCCCCATTATTGGACCTCCCAGGGCTTAACTGCCCTCATTGTGGCCTCTACGCCATGGAGTTCCCCAGCTGGACAAAGCCACCGAGAATCAGGTGGAGCCTGGGAGAACAACCTAGGGGGTGGTGTGGGTGACCCTGATGTGTGGGTGCCATAGAGATTCCACGACAGCAGTCCTGAGGGTCATGTTCTCATCACAGCCTTGCCACCCCACACAACACTTATCTTCCCACCCCGACTCTGGGACAGCCAGGGTCATCTCAGGAAAGCCCACTACCAGGCCTGCAGTGCCCAGCCTGGCCTCCCGCCTGACCTGCCCCCACACTGTCCCGGGTGGGTATGGGCAGTCAGCCTGTTAAGCTGGAAGCCCTTGGGCTGGGCTGAGGGGACCAGGAACCTCCTGAGGCCTGCCCTTACCCCCAGGGCACCTGGCACTGGCTGACACTCCTGTTAGATGCACACCTGGAGCTGGGTCCTACCAGAAACTGCCTGGGGGTGCCCTGCCCTGGAGCCCCGCCCAGGAAGGCTGAGCCACCCGGCACACCCTGGCCACTTGGCCGCAGCCCAGAGGGCAAACCCACCTCTTGAGCAGGACCACCTCCAGGTTGTCGTCAGGGGTGGGCCGTATCTCCTTGATATACACTCTCAGAGGGGCGTCTTCTGTCTCCAGGAGGGGCAGGCTGCTGACCGCCATCGCCATGGAGTGCCAGATCCCTGCCAGCTGAGGGGAGGGCCGTGAGGGACTCCCCAGTGGGGCTGGAGGGGTCCTTCCCAACCCCTACCCGATCCAGGGAAGCAGGGTCCTGCCTCCCCCCAGCTCTCTCAGCTGGAAGAGAAAGGAGCAGAGCTGGGGTCAAGGAGCATGCACTGAGCCCCAGAACTGGGACTACCCTCCATAGTTGACCTGAATATCCTAGCAAATCTCCTCCTGAGCCCAAAGGAGGACCTAGCTGGGCCCCTCACCAGGAGTGAGTGGAGAATATTTGGATCTTGGGGAGCCACGGAGCTGGAGCTGGGAAAGCTATCTTAAAGGTTGGAGGGCAGGGGCCCCCAAATCTCAGCATCCCCTGGATCCTCCTGGCCTTCTGAGGCCCCGGCCTCCTGCCCACCCTGCAGCTGGCCACTCACCCCCACTGCACGCCTGTCGTCTGAACTTCTGCATCTCCAGCTCCTTCACGGTTGGAGAGATGCTGATGGCACGGACGACACGGAGGGCCAGGCCCAGGGTGAGCGGGAGGCACCTCAGGGTGGTGGTGGTGGGGCACGTCTGAGCTCCGGAGAGTGAGGAGGCCGAGGCAGTGCCGCCGGGGCTTATACAGGAGGGCAGCGAGGTCCCCCAGGCCTGGGCAGTTCCTGGAGGAACCACAGACGGAAAGGGTGAGGGGTCGGCTCCAGGCTGACCGCCAGGGTCGGGGCACTTCCTGGTGAGGCTCTTGGTCAAGGACATGCCAGGACACTGTCCTGCACGGGCACAGCTGTGTCTGGGCGAGGAGGCTCCCCTCTCACGGCATGAGGGGCTTGCATTGCCACCCCTGACCCCACTGGCGGCTGCCCTAGGCCCTCACCGGTTCCGGCCACCCGCCCCTCGGCTCGCCATGGCCTCCCCGGTTTCTGGTTTACTCTGCCTCTGGAGCCAAAAAACCCAAACCAAAACTACTGCGGTCGAGTGGATTCGAACTGCCCTCTAGGGTTTCCCAGGAGCAGCTTGGAAACACTATGGGGCAGTTCTACTCTGTCCTCTAAGGGCGCTATGAGTCGGAATTGACTCGATGGCAGTGCACTTGGCTTCTCCCCCCGCGGTCACCTGCTCCACTGAGGGACAGTGGTGAGGGCGAGGGAGGGGGCAGGCAAGCCCTGCACGTGGCGGTGGGGATTGCGGTTCCACCTGCTGAGGAACAGTGACAGTAGCACTCGGGTGCCTGCGAGCCCACCACCATCAAGGCGGGGTATGGCCCTGGCTTTGGCCTCCGGGTGGGCGATTGACAGGAGCAGTATGGGCGTGTGCACGATGCATGTCCTGGGGGGAAGGGTGCAACCCCTCATGGATCGGTGTCGGGTCCTGTCCCTCCTTGGCGGGAGCTGCAATAGACAATCAGGGAGACACACCTGCCTCAGGTGAGGGCATCCTGCATATATTCCCAGGGAGACAGAGCAGGTTGGAGACCCGGGGTCTTCCATGGTTCCATTTGTGTAAACAAGCACCAGGGGGGTGGGTGAGGGGTGGGGGCGGGAACAGACACCTGTGGCTTCACATTCCTAATGGTGAAGCGCTCACCTGGGGGAAGGGCGGGCGTTGGGTTGCAGTGGAGAGGGGGTGCCCCCAGGGAGTCCTGGGAGATGAGCAGCTGGCTCTCCCATGGTGAGTGGCTGGTGTGTTGGCCCTGCCCCCCGGGATGGGCAGGTCTTTCCAGGCGGCCCAAGACCTGCTCAGGCGGGGCCTCTCCGCTGCCATCTTGGGACTCTGGGGTGGAGGTTAGGGGTTTCGTAGAGCAGCTCTGGTTTCCTCCTTGACCTCTGCTTTCTCTCTGTATCGGCCACTTGTTACCACACCAGGAAAGAGTCCACCCCATCCGCCCACCCCAGCGGATTCGGTACTGATTCCAACTCCTCCTTCCAAGGGTGGGGGGTTTGGGGAGACCCTCGTGTTTGCCTGGGCAGTCCACTCAGGTGGGGTCCCACTGCAGGCAGCTGGGTGTGGAGCGCCCCTGTGTGAGGGCAGGACACAGGGTCAGGCGGCTTGCCAGGCAGGGGTCAGTCCCCAGCAGCTCTGTCTGGTGACCACGGCTGTGCCACCTCAGGGAGGTGCTGTGTTCAGGGTGCTTGTGTGTGGATCAAAGTCCCTGTTTTTGTGGAAGCTTGGTGGGGAGGGGAGGCACATGGGGTGTTTGCCCCTGACAGCTGGCAGATCTTGGGTGCGGGACTGAGCAGAGCGCTGCTCCACCACGACAGCACCGCTTCTGCGGCTGTTTACAGGGCAGTGACTGTGCGCGGGGCCTCAGGGCCACGGCCTGCGTTTCCCCTTTAATTCTCAACAGCCCTCTGAGTTCCGGGTTCCTCTCTGCTCATTTGCAGGTGAGGAGGAAGCGGCTTAGCAAGGCGTTGGTGGTGACACAGAGGACAAGCAGGGGCCAGGGCCCTGCCCCTTGAATGCTCCGTCACCGAGCATAGGGAGGCAGGCCAGAGAAGACAAGCGCTTTGTTTTCCAGGAAGCTTGGGAAATGGCCGGTTCTAAGAACAAGGCGGCATCCTCCCGTGGGTGCTCTTGGAACGTGTTCTTCCTGGTGTGTCCTGGGAAGGTGGTCACGGAGCGCTTCCCAGGTGCACCTGTCCACAATTCCCAGGAATCGTGTTCCACGGATGCCATTAACAAGCCTGAAACACTGCTGGCTCACGCAGGCC